TATTACATGTCAAGGTGTTGACCTATTTTTACTGATGGGGAGGGGGTGTTCTCTGTGCCTCCTGGACTTGAATGCTTGTTTCCTTCCCCAGATTAGGGAAGTTCTCGGCTATGATTTGTTCAAATATACCTTCTGCCCCTCTCTCTTTTCCCTCTTCCTCTGGGACCCCAACTATTCTAATTGTCCCACTTTCCGGCATCACTGATCTCTTGAATCTTCCCCTCATAATCCAGTACGCGTTCACCTCTCTTTTTCTCAGTTTCTTTATTCTCCAACGTTTGTCTTCTGTAGCACCAAGTCTCTCTTCTGCCTCATTTAGCCCAGCAGTGAGGGCCTCCATTTTTGTATTGCATCTCAATAATAGCTTTCTAAAAATGTTTGACCTGATTAGATTTTAGCTCTTTCATTCCTCCAGTAACGGATTCTCTCGTGTTGTCTATGCTTATTTCAAGCCCAGCTAGTATCTTTGTAATTGTCGTTTTGAATTCTAACCCCGACGCCCTACATATCTCCACAATGTGCAAACCCCCAGCTGTCAGGACCGCCTTTTGCTCTTTGTGGGATGAGTTCTTCCATCTTGCCGTTGTGTCTTGCAACAACTGGTCACTTTTCTATGTGTGGAATTGCAGCAATTCTCTCCGTAGATGCCTGTTGAGGTCGCAGGTGTTCAGAATGGTTTGATAACTCTCTAGCGGAATTCCAGGGACTGGATGAAATTAGGGTCCCCTACTCATCCACCATCTTGCCTCTCTCTCCTGGAGAACGGATTTTGGAACCCAGCCTGAGGAGGTATGCTAATTGTGCCGCAGTGTCATTGCTTCTGGGATTTCACAGGGAATGCTTTAGAAAGTGTCCCCACACCTCCCTCACTTGCGGGTATCACACGCACAGACGCACTGAGAGACGCATGATCACAAGGTCACCCCGAGAGCTCCAGTTCCAGACAAACCGCAGTTTGCATCCCTCTCTGTTCCTGACAGGAACTCAGCTTCCTTTGTCCAGAACTTGTTTGCTCGCTGGCTCTGTCCTAGCAGACACAGACCCTTGTCTCAGGACTGCTGCCGTTATGAGAATCCTGACAACTTATGAGTTCCGTATCTGCTTGCCATTTTTCTTTAGTCCAAACACCATTCCCCAGAGTTGCATAGGTTCGTTTTCTTTTTTCTTGGTGGTTGTTTTGTTCATTTGAAATACGGTTTTGTTCATTGAGTTTCAATTGTTTTACAAGTTTGCATTCAACCCTTGTTGATTCAATCTGTTGTTAATGCCAAAAAAATAAAACTGCCCGTTATTTTACCAGCAAAAATGGTTTCTTTGGGAATAGCAATCTGAGACTTGCAATCTGAGACCAACAGGCTAAAGGGAAACTCTGCAAGCACAGAGACCGAAGCAGAAGCAACCACAGAGGGGACCGTGTTTTAGAGGAAAGGCTGCTCTCCCACAGTGCTGGGGGAAACAGTCGGAGATGTGACCTTTCATTGGCTGGGCTGGGACAGTCTCTCATTAGCTGCTATGACATTTCTCATTGGCTGGGCTGGAACGTCTCTCATTAGCTGCTATGACATTTCTCATTGGCTGGGCTGGAACGTCTCTCATTAGCTGCTATGACATTTCTCATTGGCTGGGC